AGTAACTCTCCAAGGTTTCCATACTGGTCTCACCTGATACTTTGCGCCTGTTGTCCAAGACTTCCTCGTTGATAATTAGTGCGCGACCAGTGTTCCCGCTGAGGTAATAAAGATTACCCAACGTGAAATGATGCATCAACGTCAAGTGTCCGAACGGACCCGAATGGGCAATCATAAGCTGGCAAGAATGCTCCGCGCGTTCTATTCCCTCTCGAATGCGTCCTAGTTGAGCAAGAGCCACAGCAGTGCCGAGGTAATACTTGGCATACTCAAAGGGGACCTCCTGTTCTGTACCCCAGAGCTTGTACGCCTCAAGACACACCTCCATGAGGGCGAGTGATTCTTCAGATTTTGCGGCATCGTCAGCGTGAAGTAAATGCCCTGCCATCGAGGATTTTGATGCGATAAATCTAATGTGGTCGTCGGTAGTTCGCGATAGGCTAGGGATAGCCGCCCACTCTTTGGCGCGGATTTCAAAGGCACTCGCTCGTAATTGAGAGCTTTCTTTTCTTCGGGAGACTCCAATGAGGTCATACATGGAAGCAAGAGTAGAGTTGATGTCACCGTATAAGGGGTCCATACTGTCGTAGTTATGAGACCTTAGAATGTCTTTCGAGGCCAGCAATGCCTTTTCACCGTCTAAGAATTGCCTATTGTGCCACATGAACGTGCCGCATTCTGCAATGGTCTTGGCAAAGTCAACGGGGAGATCGACAGGAGGTTCTGGCCACACGGAATGGCCATGAACGCTGAGAATGTGGGGGATATATGTCTGGTATCGACCACTGGCTTCGGGCTGAGGGGCACGGATGCGCGAAGGCTCTGGTAGTTGCTGCTTCACCGCATTGAATGCCTGATCAAATACCCTCTTGCGGTGATGCACATCCTCGCTAATCGTATTCAGAATACAAAGCTGGGTAGTTCGATGAATAGAAAGATGGAACGAGTTAGATCCAGATCGTTCTCGTTTCACCAGTTGGCGCATCCTCAAATCTTTAATTACAAACATGAAGCTATATTTCGGTTAATCTCCAACCATATGCGAGCTGTTTGGGGCAACGCTTACTTGCTAGGGTCATTCAAAAACTCTAGCGACTTGTCCTTGTGGCTGGTTACAAGCATCTCTTCTGGTATTCCATCCGGGTTTAAGTATGCTAGGAGATAGATAAGTTTGAGAGGCTGTTCCCCTAACTCACTGATGGCGAGGTCGAAAACAGCGCCCAGAGTGTAGTCATAATCTTGGACATAATTTCTGTTTAGGTGTCGGCTCCATAGCCTTGAAGAGCGTTTCAAATGTACTAGGAACTCGCTGAGAGTAATACCGGACGAATTAATGTAGCCGCCCATTACGGCGATGGCTAAAGGAAGGCCACCCACGAATTGCGAGATCTCACTAGCTACAAGGCCCTCGGCGCTATCTTCGGGGTCCCTGCTAAGGTACCGATATAGAAGCTCAGCACCATTGCGAGGATCGAAGCTGGACAGATATAACCGATGGAATACGCTACTCAGTTGCTTGGTGTCTGGATGCTGTGTTGTTATGAGTATGCAGCCTGGTCTAGTTGAGTTCCGTGGGATGAATGCATCAATAGGGGTAATATATTCAACATTGTCAAATATGATTAGCCATGGTTTATCTAAGATGATGCGCTCGTCAGTGCCTTATTTTACGTATATCCTGCCGCATACTTACCTGTCCTTTCCAACCATTCTCGAGCAAGATCTACTCGGCTCAAAAAAACATCACTTTCGGAACTATTGGAGCTATTGTAGCTGCTCTGGGGTGTTAATAGCCGTTGCAGCTTGAGCTTGGGTGCGATCAAGCCGAAAGACTCGGTAAGCCTAACAGTTGTCTCTGCTTGCAGCCAAAAGATTGCCTGAAATCTATGGCCAAAAGCATAAGTATACGCTAGCGCTGTCTGCGTTTTTCCGACTCCAGCGATTCCATGGATCACGCAGCAGCACGAATCCGGCCGTTGAGGGCCATCGGGGGTTACGAAGCTTTTACTGAACACGTCATCGATCTCTTGCATGGCATCTTGTCGCCCATGGAACGCGAAATTCCTCATTGGCCGACCGGTCTCGACAGGGAACCTCACACTTAAAGCTATACTATCTGGAGAGTCGGGTTGCGAAGCATCCATGGTCGCGTTGTGGCCGGAGTCTTTTTGAGACCCGGGGACCATCAACGCAGCGCGACGGACGTCACGTCGATGCAGTAGTGTAAACTCGCGGTCAAATTGATCCCGATGCTTGGTAATTAACACCTGAGTGCGTTTTAGGGTTTTCTCGGGTGTGGAGCTAAGGAGAACGCCCAAGAAATTCCCTAGAAAGCATTTACAGCGGTCAGTATATGATAAGATACCATCGGGCTACATTATGCGGACACGGTCACTCACGGGCAGGATTGCGTGTTAAATATTGACTGATTTTGAGACAGAAAGTAGCAAATTCGGAGAACATGTCTCGCAGTGGCCACTGCAATGCCGGCTCGTCTGGGTACAGTTTGACCGTGTCCTCAAAATACGGTAGCGAATCAGCGAGATCGGTGAGTAGATTAAAGATCTCCTCAGTTAAACTTGCGTGCCTAATTGCCCCCTTGGTGTACAGATCAACATTAATTAGTTGTACAGTGACGAAAACAAGTAACACACCTCTAGGAGGATTTGTATCCCACCCCACAGGAAGGAAGAAGTATCGTTGACTTGGGACATGGCTGCGACAGCCCTCTCGAACGAACGGATATGCTCTAGGCGGCTGTGAAAGCGATTAATAAACCGGCTCCAACCCTGTCTCTCATATCGGTGATTGAGATCCTGTAAATATTGGGTGAATTGTGCGAACTCCACGAGTTTGAATTGACTGAGGTTTGAGGCCCGGAACTCGGCGTGGCTCTTCTCCAACAGCTGCTTCCATTGTTCGGTCTGCTGTCTCTGTGAATAGGACATTTCTATCAGCTATCATGGCTTTGGTTCCTTCCACTAACCAGAGGCAAGAGACTAATGGAGAGCAACAACAAGCGGCATTGAAAATCAGCCGCTAATTTAGTGGCTAAAAGGTTTACTTCTGTATATTCTGCGGGGACCAAAATATAAATAAGTGACCAGTCCTTGATGTAACAAACCAGGATCTAGTCCAGCTGGGCGCACGCATTTACATGTTTCTGCCGCCGATTAACAAACAAATGAAAAGCGAGGTAATAAAACCGTCGCAAAAAGCGACAAACTAAACCTATATTATTATTATTTAAACCATTTAAAGGTGTTATCAATGTTGTTTATAAGTGCCAGCATTTATTTTTATATATTAATAATAGATTATTTATATAATTTAAACAATATATTTATTAAAAATTAATATATAAACCCCGTATGTTTGCGTACGGTTGACCAGTCGAGCTAAATCCACCCGAGGCCTTAGTTGGCTACTCGCGACTTGTTTCACCTAGCCAAACAGTTTAATTTCGGGCGTAATACGCTGGTTCCAAACCTATTGGTCGCGATATACGCTTAGTTGGCTTGGCAAAACCGCCTTTCGACTAGCCCACTCGCGAAAGCCTTATTTAACTAACTACCCGTTTCGCCTTAACAAAACACTTAACGTACGGAGTTTAATATCGGGCGCAATATGCTATTTCAGCTGTCTAGTTGCGAGGCAGTGCGGCCCCGTAAACCTATTGGTCGCGATATACGCCCTTGAGATGAGAAAAGTACGCCTAACGGGCAATTATATCCAACAACCCCACCCCATCCCAACTGACAGCCCTACCACCCACAACAGCCCTACCCCTTACCCCCTTGACAGCCTACCACCCATCCAAGCCTTCGACCTTCGACCAGCCCACTCGCAAAGGCCACCCAATAGCCCCACTACCCCCAACAGCCCTACTACCAGTATGAACCTTCGACTAACCTACTTGCGAAGGCCTACCAAACCTACCTCATACGACTTGTCGAGGGCAACAAGGTTTTCCTAGCCCCCGCGCAAACCTTCGACCTTCGACCAGCCAACCCACTTACAAAGGCCCTGCCAAACCTACCACATACGGACCGTCGACTAGCCTTCGCGCAAAGGCCCTGGTGGAATTAAATACATTAGACTTGTTGAGGTTGACAAGGCTTTTGTTGTTGCGCGGCATATAATACGGTCTTTTAAAAGAGTAGCTATTTAAATGGTTTTATGCTGGTTAGTATGGGATCTGCGCCTTTGCTTTGCATTAGGGCTTATCATGGTAACACAGGACTGCGCTCCAGGTAACTCTAGTCAATGGGTAAATCCACAAGATAACCACGGGATTTCACGGGCACGATTGCTATTGTTGTTGTTGGTGGTGGTGTAGTTGCATTTACGCAGTGTCAAATCACTTGCGGGCCCTACAAAAGACTAGAGCAGGCCTCCGAGGTAAGTAAGGGAGTGGGGGCGGTGACGGTGACGGCACGACTGCAAGGTACGCCTTTTATTCAATACCACACGTGCCTCTGCCGATCACTCGCCCAGCACCGCCACTGCATCTTTCGAACCCCCTTTTGATTTACTTCGCTTCACTCCATACTCAATCTAAGCTATGACGGGTCCGCGATTCGAAGAAGGACGAGTGCCTTTTCTTATCCCATCAATCGATCAGCCATGCTTTACTTTTTACAAGATAATCGGCGACCTTTCTACAAACACTTCTCCTCCAGTTATTATAGTCCATGAAGGACCTGGTGTTGGCCACGGATACCTCTTGTCCTTCTAGCGTATTCCGTCCATATCTATACTCGTACGAGGATTTGCACAAAGTATGATCAGTTTGAAGTCATATCACATTGTGAATTCCTCAAGAGTCATGAGATCTCGTGTAGCAGCGATCAAGCAGAACGTGTAAGGGGGAAAGTGAAAAAAGAAAATTTAGAAGCAAAAAACAGTTCGCAAACTGCCCTCTGTCAGCTACTACGTCTGCCTCCCAATCAGAGATTAGGATGGCTCCCGAGTGGACACAGGAGGAAGCGACAAAACCCCCATTTGGGAGGGATTCGAACCCCCGACCTTATCGGTGCAGCATGGGTGCTGCAATGATGAATCATAAACCCCTAGACCACCGAGGGATGTCTGACTTCTAGCAGGGTGGCCGGCAATCTTAATGCTTATTCCCCTTGCTCTAGGGGGAATGGTAGCGAGGTATACCCGAAGAATGGGAGCTTCTGGGAAGGTGTTGGGGGTTGCTCTTGCTAGATAATGTTCAGATAAGGAAGAGGAGGAAGGAGGCGAATGCGGGAAGGAGAGAAGGGCGGAAAGGGGAGGGGGGTGAGGGGGTTCTATATACCACCCAGCACGACATGTATTGATCGAGAAATATAGGCTGTACCTGGAATGTGAGAGTAGCAAGGCAGAATTGACTTAGGGTGACGAGATTGATGGATTGTGTTGTTGTCTGGTTAAATGCAAGATCCATTGCAGATCCTACTGATGAACGGGAAAAGACAAAAACACAGGGGCCAGTACGTTAGTTTGTTCAAGAAAAAAAAAAAAAGAAAGAAAATGGTGGCTACGTGGTTTTCCATATAGCAATAAGACGTTACATGAACAGTGACGGTCGCTCCCAACATCTGCTGTTGTTGTGGTAGTCTGCGGTGCTCGTTTACGGCAGACAGTGCGCCTCAGGAAGGTCAAAATAGAATGTGTCCCTAGCTTAGAACTAGTTATAACTAACATCCAAAATGATGCAAATCATAACTGCAAGAGTACAGCAGAATAGTTCCCCTATACAGGGCCTATCTAGGGTACTTCAGGGGTAGTTCGATTGTTCAGGTAAGATACAGTTAGCGGAAAGAGGTCAGAAGCTCCAATTGGCGGCAATATATCTACCGGATAGGTGGCTTCAAGCTGGCGCCATATCATCGTTACCGCACTACTCGTCGTAGACTGAAGCCTCCAGGCAAGGATGTCGGAGACATTCTGTCGAGTACAAATGTTGAATGATTCTAAGATGGAAAGTGGCCGATGTAGGTAACAACAAATGTGCACACACATAAGCGAGTAGGGGTATACCACATCAAGCGCAAGACGGCAACTCTCAGGATGAATGCCAAAAGTGAGCATCGCGAATGACATAATAGTCGTAAATAGTTGTGAATAGTAGCGATGGCCGGAGCGGGCGGAAGTTTCTACCTTAGTGCAGTGCATGTGTGGGTGAGGTGTTCGAGCCTCACTTGGCTCGAGCAGCGCGTATACAGGCTGCAGCACGCCTGGTTACAAGATACTCCAGTACCTAGTGTACATAAATATAAAAATTCAAGAGCCGAAAAAAGTAAAACAGATTGCTGGGAGTTTTCAAGTTAAGACTGGAAGGAATTCGAAAAAGTAAAAGTTGATGCAAACGCTAAGGATTGAACTCAAGAACTGAGAGAGAGAAAAAAGCAGATGATCCCTCAGATGTAAGTGTATTACCACTTGACCATCCAGGGGAATGATTCATCATTGCAGCACCCATGCAATAGAACAGGTTCTAACTTACATATAAGAACCTATTACCAAATCTCGTCTGAACCTTGTATCGGTACTTGGAGTACCTTAGATAATGAACCAACCTTGTTCAGTGGAGCCGTGGGTCTCTAAGCGCGGGCCGTACCGAGCTTGATACCCGAGACAAAGCTTTAGATTGCATGTTGTAGTGATATCAACTCCATCTTATTGAGATGTCTAAACACCGGGTATCGGTGTATGCAGCCGTTCAGCGTTAGTGCAGACTGTGGCGACTTGAGGAGATGAGATACGATTGATAAAACCTCAAATATCTGGCGTCGTTAGTCCGTCATGCAATAAATAGTACCCCCGCCCCCCAAGAGTTTGATGGGAATATTAAGGAAGATAAACATTATGATCGATGCATACAAAGTTGAAACACCGTATGCAACTAATAAACTACAATCAAATCGTTCTGTAGGAATCAAGACACACAGCGGCTTACTTGGATTACTTTTTAATTTTTCCGATTTCTATAATGATCTCGCAGTGTTGCGGGTAAGTCGCTCGTCACGGGACAGTGATCTATCCCAACGCTCTGCCGTCCAAACTGGCCATCTGGAAGAGGTCAAGATCCAAATCTATCTTGGTATTTTTTGATAAGATTGAGATTACATTGCTACGAGTGTGCCTTGAATTGTTTCTGTGAGTGGTTAGGGCAATTATATAATGCCATGAGACCTGAACAATGGAGAGTAGTCATACGGGATATTGGATTAGACATAGCTACTTCCTTAATTAGCACTTGTTTAAATAACTGTTTTGTAAGGCACCTTCTGCTGTCTCCGCGGTATTTACAAGGTACCTCGTCCATCCGCTGGGTTACCCACCTGATATTCACATGTGTGTTAACATATATACCTACCTTGATTTCCCTATTTTTATGAATATGTACTTGTACCTATGTACCCGTCCAGGTGTCCCTGTACCTGCCTTGTGCGGTTCTAATTGACCCTCTCAGTTAGACTGGCTATACCTTCTTACTCTTAGTTTGTCCTATAACTCTCACCTTCTTCGTGTACCTACATTCCTGCCGCTTTCTACACTCTCTGACCTCCACACCCGCCCAATTCCCTTGGTTTAGACGTGTCGTTATACCCTTTTCTATTGCATACTCCCTTCCCAATACTCCCAGCTTACCATGCAGATTCACATCTGAACTTCGCCATGAACAGCTCTCCATCATCAGACGCCTGCCTCGTCTGTAGCAGGCCAGCCGACCTGCAGTGTAGTCGATGCGAAGATGTATCATACTGTTCCAGAACATGCCAGCGAGATGACCATGTTACCCACAAACTTCTCTGTGCCAGTCTTTCCCGGTTTGATATGACGAACAGACCAACAGAGAACCACATACGAGCCATCATATTTCCAGTCGACCAGAAGCGGCCCGAGCTCATCTGGATTGAGTGTGAGCGGGCCTCTGAGGACTTGCAGTATCGAAGTGCTAAGCCATTCTTCAATGACACCGAGGGAACCACCACTCCTCTCGAGTACAATTTCGTGCTGGGAAGGCCCCTGTGCAACGTGATCTTTGTTGCCAAGCAAGACGACCTTCTTCGGGACGGATCGGCGCCCAACAGAAGTATCGCAACCATCACTGGCACCGGAGGGTCCCGTCGCGATTGGCGGTGAGCAACCTTTTTATATCGATCCTCACCTTAGGGCTGCATGGAGGCTCCCTATGGACATTGAATAGTATTATACCCTAGAGTTACTATTTCGAAACTTCTAATCCACCTTTATTTGGCAGTCACTAATTATGAATTTTGTAGCGGCCCCGTCATTGCATTCGGAATGGCCGGGCCAAATCTAGAACAACTGAAAGACTATCGAGACATTGACTTGGAGGATTTTCGACATATTACCGACTACTTCATCACATATGATTCGAGCCACGGAATTCTAGGTGTCAGGATCAACTGCCGGGGCGATCAAGAGGTTCTGAAGAAGCCGCCTTTCGAGGAAGTCAAGCTGACCCCATGGGATCCCATCTTCACCGACCACGACACTTCGGACATTGCAGAGCGCATCGGGCTTCCAATTTTCACAAAATCTTCCACCCCGGCTCACAGTTGGGCGAATGCAGATGACTCCAAAATGTACGAAAACATGAACGCCACATATTTACATCTATGCTGCGACCCCGAAGCCAAATCAGACATCGCGCATGGCATCCCAGGTTGGGGTTCGGCCCCCATGAAGTGGCAAAACAGGGTAGGGAGCGTTATAGTTGCACGTCAGGACCAGAAACCACTGTCCCCATGGCATGTCGAGGCTCTATGCAGATACTGTCTTTACGAAGCCGGAGCTTACCTAGCCCATTCCAATGACGCATATTGCCCAGATGAGCCCATGTCCAAAGATCTGGTGCTATCAATGATCTGCCGACCAACATTTTCTATTTTTTGGCAGAAATTTCACAAGGAGATTCACGAGAAGGGGGGAAGTATCCGTGATGTATCATCGCCTTACCTAGTTTGATCTGGGAGACCCAGTGTTTAAGATGGATAATTCCAGATGTAGACGCGCAATAGTTAATTACCTCGTTCTTTACACTTGCTGTTTGGGTAGCTGTCAATTAGAAGCTTTGATTATAGCCTGCGGGTAGATTGAGTACCTAGATCGAGAACCATTCTAGCAGTTGTCTAGAAGCAGGAGTAAGAGTGTTTTGTTGACCTATTGTTGGGGCCTTACGGAATGTGACAAACATGGCTGCTCTCTCTTCCTATGATTTTAAATATTTAGCTTTAACGAATATATATTTAGATGTTAATTAGAGCTTTAGCACTAGAAGTCACAGTAGTTTTTGAATGACTTAGTGAATGATAAATAACACGAATTACGTGTATATCACAACATCTTCCTCGAAGCTCGCCGTTACTGTCACTTCAGGTGATATCAAGTTGTATGTTTATACATGATACACATCAGACAACTGCACCCCACCCAACACAAACGTAGGTACCCAGGTAGGTTCCTATTCTACAGCTCCCTGTTCGATGTTTCTATTCAGTTGAAGTATTGTGGTTTCCTTGTCGTGCTTATCACCACGTTAAGCATACATGTGCCCAGGTATCGGGTCACTTGGCTCGTCTTCCTCAGCACCGAACCCCAGGTGTTCCACAACCCCGTCAATATCATCATACTCACTATACCATTCAGCAGGCATCTCTATCACTCCCCAGCGAACCTTGCTTCGGGCTAGTCTTCTCAATGGGCTACACTGGTCATCATCGCCCTGCTCCTCTGCACCATAGTCGACTTTCCCCGGTGCTCGTGTCTCTGAAAACCAATATCGTATCTCGTCGAGTATGCCAGCTCTATTCTCGGCTGGACTAAGTTGGTGGCTTGAATCGATTCCCAGGTCAACTGAGCTGCGTAACGACACAGGGGCATAGGATTCGGGAATAGTATCATCTGCTATAGCTAACGTTCTAGGTGGTCGAGGAATTGTCGATGAATGGCACGCTGCTGATATTGCTAGCGAGTTACTTCCTGGTTGGGTGATTTTGGAGGGCCACATCTTAGAAGCTAGGTAAAGCGGTATGAGAACCATAATGCTCCACACAATTATCAATAC